AAGAGTGTTTAGGAATTTATTTAATTTTGGAATTTATATCAAATAAGTATTGCTGCCATATTCCTACAAAATAACTACAGTAATAACCAGTTCCTACACTATCTCAAAACAATACACTCACTGCCTTTCTGTTTAATACTTAATGAAAAATAGCCTTTGCTTTCCATGGAAATCATGACAATACGAATAATTTCTCAGAATATGAAAAATTTATCCAATTCAAAACCTTTTCAGGTAAGACTAGTTGTTCTCCATCTTGATTCTGATCTTTTGCTAGCTTACTTTTACCTTTTTCTTAAAAAGTAACCACATTTCAAAGTAAGTGGTTTCAAAATACGAAGTTAAGCATTTTGTTCAGAAATTGTCTAAACAGTTCTTTGAAGGTTTTGAAATTATCCTAAAAATGATTTGAAAACACAACATGCTTCAAACTGGAAAATCTCTTTCAAACAACTTCTGTTTCAGTATATTTTTAAAATCGAAAAGAAATGCATTATATGGGAAAATTCACAAACTGTAGTAGTAAAGCACTTAAAGATTGAGTACATGAAATTGTAAACAAAATTCCTAAATTATTAATTTAAATGATACAGAGAAAAGAGGGAGGAAATAATAAATTGTTGCATAGTTATTTTGATAATCTATTTTGTTTGTCCACATTGGAGCAGGAAGGCCCCAGTTTTTGAAACATACATGCATGAAAATAACTGATATGCACAGCTGTTTGTAGGAACAGCATCTTATGCAGACAGGGTTTTTGTAGGGGTTTTAGGGTAGAGTTGGATATTAAGAGCTTCATTACCTAAACCCCACAGTCTCTAGATGTAGCTCCCCATCAACTGCACTAGAAACCTGTGCCTCCTCACTCTGACTCTACAGCATCATACTCGAGACTTCAGGAGCTAGAGAGGAGCTCCTACAATGCAAAATAGAGAAGTACGTCCATTTCCCTCTCAACAATCTGGGGGCACCAATCTGTCACATAACTTGGGAGTGTAATATGCCACAATTACATGATGCAGAGAGTATCTCTGTATCAGGGCTCTGTCCACTATAGAAATAATCAATTACTGTCTAAACCTCTGATTATGTATAACTGAATTTGAGAAAACTGATGCACCTGACAAGCTCATTTTTTGAGATCAGTGGGGCTAAGTGCAGGAATAAGAATTCATCAGGTTTGTTTTTTAATTTAGAATTGTGGCTTTAGATACACAGAAGATCAAATTTATAAGTCCATGTTTAGTAACCCTATAAGTGCTTTCAAAAACAGGTAAATTAAGCTAATTGTAATTCCTTGCTTTTGTGTACCTCCACAGATTTTATATCTTAGAGGTTGAAAGGAAAAATTAAATCAGAAACAAAATCACTTTTTATTTCTATTTTCTGCTGTTTACTTGTTACACAGTTTGTATGAAAGTATAGACTAACTTGTTCTCAGCTCTTAGCACCACAATGCATCATTTCCATTTTAACAGAATATTTATTATGAAAAACCTAACTTTTACCAAAGTGTTATAATTCCCTGAAATGTTGACCATGTTTCTGGAAAATACTTTAAAAAACAACAACTGTGTTCCATTATTGAACAAATAAATAAGATTTAATAAAAACATAAATGATTTAACATACTTGTCCCATTCACTGTAATCCCGTGGCACATTTTTCTTGTTTCTTTGATTGTTTTGTAATATTTTGTTCTGAAAGAGAAACAGCCAGCCTGTAAGACAATTTTTAAAGTGGCAATTCACAGCTTTTGTTTTGTTTTGTTTCTGCAATACATATTGCTAGTAACTAACACTATTCATGACTTATCTCAGCACAGTCTTGAGAACTTAATTCATCTTGCTTTAAAGAAAATCTTAGGGTATTTCACATATTGATGTAATCTGAGGAGCTCTTCAGTGTCACACTTTCTCTCCACTGCTCTGCTACATGTCACAGAGGCACTGAATAACACTTCCAGATAGGAGACTGCTCTTCCTAATTAGTATTTTGGGCTGCCATCTTCCAAACCATCCTTTCAACACAGCAAGGGAGACCTCAGCCTTGGGAAAACCTAGCCTTGTGATGAGCACCGAGACTGAATCAGTAACACTGTTTTGGGCATGCCATTCCCAAGAGAACGCAATGCACGGTTTTTAAACCCTCACAACAAACTTACAAACGTTTGACTTCAAAAGAGCGTCTGGACTTCTTTTGACTGTTTCACACACCACTCAAGCTAATTCCCAAAATTATTCACACTCATTCTAGCTTTTAGACAAACTCCAATATTGAGGTTTGCCTTACCTAAAATTTACCTTTAGGACCTTCCTGCAACATTCACTCCTAGTAACAGCTTCAACTGACTTGTATCACAAGTCATCTCCTACACTAATGGAACCTATTTCCATAACTGGAACCTTTGCCATCTCTTCTACTGCTGTCATGAGACTATATTTCTGATATGTCCCTCCCTGCTTGTTGACTTCAACAATACTTAATAGCAAGGTGTGGTTCCAAAACAGGTATTTCACGGTCGAACAGCCAGTTCAAAAATATTCCCATCTACTCTGTCCTGGCTATTCAGTCCTTCTTTTATCTTGCAGTCCATCGTTTACTGAGTTAGACCAACATAATTGTTTGTAGAGTTACAGATTTACAGTTATCTGGGTTCAAACAGACAATTTGATAGAGATTGCAGTACAATCCCTAAATATCTGTACCAGTTCAACAGAGCATGTGATAAACTGGACCAAAGAAGCAACCAGCAACGTCTTAAACTAGCTTTACCAGTGATGACACTGTAATAAGGAAATACTTCTGCAGTTGGATGTAAACACCTCAATTTACATAATGCAAATCTGACCCTTCCTGTAAACACTTCTGACTATCTACAATGTTAGGTTACATCAACTTTGTGTGGTGCAGTCAACACGCCAGAAGGAAAGAATGCCATCCAGAGGGACTTTGACAGGCTTGATACACAGATCTGTGCAAACCACATGATGTTCAACGAAGTCAAGTGCAAGGTCCTGCACCTGGGTTGGGCCATTCCCAAGCACAAAAACAGGCTGAGTGGAGAATGGTTTGAGAGCAGTCCTGAGGAGAAGGACTTGGGGGTGTTGGTTGATGAAAAGTTCAATATGAGCTGGCAACGTGCACTTGCAGCCCAGAAAGCCAACCATATCCTGGGCTGCATCAAAAGAAGCGTGGCCAGCAGATCAAGAGAGGTCTTTCTGCCCCTCTACTCTGCTCTGGTGAGACCCCATCTGGAGTACTGTGTCCAGTTCTGGGGCATCCAACATGGACACAGACCTGTTGGAAATGAATCCAGAGGAGGGCCATGAATATGATCAGAGGGCTGGTGCACCTCTCCTATGACAAACAGGCCTAGAGAATTGGGGTTGTTCAGCCTGCAGAAGAGCAGGCTTCAGGAGAGACCTTATAGCAGACTTCCAGTACATGAAGGAGGCCTACAAGAAAGCTGGGGAGGGAACTTTTACAAGGGCATGCAGTATGAGAGGTAATGGTTTCAAAGTGAAAGAGGTTAGATTTAGATTAGAAATTAGGTAGGAACAGGTTGCCTGGGGAAGTTGTTGATGCCTCTTCCTTGGAAGTGTTCAAGGCCAGGTTGGATGGGGCTTTGAGCAACTTGGTCTAGTGGAAGATCATGGGGGGGGGGTTGGACTAGATGATCTTTAAGGTCCCTTCCAACCATTGTATGATTCTGTGTTCTCAGTCTTTGAAGCTAGACAAAATGAGAAATACATTTAGTGATCAACACATGCTTGCAGTTGCAGGAGGTCCTGAAACATGAGTTAATATTATGTATGCATCCTGGTGTATATTACAAACTTACTAATTTAATAAATACAAAATCTTTTTTTCAAACTTGAAGCCCTTAATTTAAATAAGCACAAAAATAATGAAACTCTCAGAAGAAAACTCCTGTTATTTACACTAATGCAACTTTAATTTAGGGAGAGAACTACAGCATGTCCTTTCAAGGAATAATGCTGAAGTGTTGACTCAAGAATGCACAATTTTTTGAATTCTAAGTCTCATATTCTTGGAACCATTTTAACCAAGTTGCGGCTCCAACAGAGTCAGGAATTTCTCAATCAGTGATATTTCACAGCATCTCATCCAAGAGGCTTTGAAGAAAAATATACCTTTGCATGCTGTGGAACTAAAAAAAACCAAATCTCTGCCCTTGTCATTTTTCTTGCCAGAACTCACAATGCATGGATCCCACAGGGTTTGAAGCCCAATGAACAATTTCTGGACCAAAGATCAAAGCACAGACTGGCTTCAGCTCAAGTGACACAGGATTTGGCCTTGGTTCTCCTCTGGGCCCTGTGTGATGGCCTAAGACACTACTATTCTGTGTCAGATAACCAGTATTATTTTCTAGTTCAGAGTATCCAAAATAATATGAAGCCTGTATAGATACTATCACAGTGGATTTTTATAATATAAAACTTGGAGTGTGTGCTACATGCTCTGGACTGTACCATGAGAAGGTATATGAGGACAAAAATATTTCTGGAATAGTAGTATTCCTGTTTGGCAAAGGAACTTAAGTCTGCTGAAATCCCATCAATATAGTCTTCTGGAAGTGAGTATCTTTAAACACATGCTTTAGTTATGTCCTGGAAAAAGTGAAGCAGCAAAAATAATAAAGCAACATGGGCAGTTAAAACCAGGAAAACTGTCTCTCCAGTCCTCTTTCATTTTGCAATATAGATGTAACCTTGATGTCCTGGGCAGTATGAAAGAAAAACAGAGATGTAAGACAGAAACTTCCATATTGTGTGAAAGAGGAAAATACTGCATAAAGTTCACTTTTTTCTATTAATTTTTGGAAAATCTTCCCCAGGACTTCACATCAATAAAAAGAAAGCATGATATACAGTTATAAGCTATTAGCAGTGAATTGAAACTGTACCTACATTTAGTATCAGGAAGAAAAATCTGGAAATAGTGGGAATAAGGCTGAAGTCATCCATGACAGCATCCGACAGTTAAAAAATATCCTATCCCACACCTACTTTTCTGCCAATACCTCCAATAGCACTGCATTTAGTGTTAGTAAGAAAAGCTGTTCACAGACAAAACAGATTTCAGGCAGGCAAATAAATGAAAATTAAAAAAAAACCAAACCATGAGGTAACTAATATCTAGGGGAAAAAAAGGTTATTCTGTAGTCCTGAAGATTTGTTAAGTATGCTTTATGGCTACAGCTGGAATACCAACTCAAGGTATAAAATAAAGACACTCAAAGGCTACATATACACCAGTGCAATCCCATATAAAAGCGGCTATACGGTGAAACAGTAGGCGCAGAGAGTCCACCATCCACGCTGTACATGTTTCAGGCTATTTATTTTGAACTAGCTCCTGTCTGGTCTCATGGAACAAAAGTCTACTGGCAGCTAGAGAAAATCTCCTGGCATAACTTCATCCAAAAAGAACCTAGTTCATATGCCTAAACAGTACTTTGAAATGTGAATCAAAGAACCTAAAATGGTCTTTAAGGAGATTTGCTCCAGAAGTGAATGCTTGATCAGAATTAAAACATTATTACAAGACAGATGCTAGTACTAACGAGGCACTTTCTTTTAAGCATTGGTCCCTTGCAAGGGAACTTAAAGGTTTTTATTTCTGCTTAACAAAATAAATCTAGCAAGAAAGATACAATGACTAGAAGTTTGTACATATAAAATGACCCAATTTTAGAAAGACATATAATTAACATACATTAGAAAACTGGGGATACCTGATTAGCAGGAAGACAGCTGCTGGAACAACGAATAGGAGGCAGGTTATCTTGTCTTTCATGTACTGTGTCTGTTCTCAGGAACTGTGATTTCTTATAATCTTCATTCATTTCTGTCACCCAGCTCTGAAAATAAATATACAATATATCTGTACCTTAAAGCAGTAGAGGAGATACACTTCATAGTCTACAATGACTCTAACAACTATCCTTATAAGGCACAGTTCTTAAATGGGGAAAAGCAATTAACACACAAAGCAATTGGGCTTTTTTGAATAAAAAATAATCTACAAAAAAATCTGTAGACTTTAAATGGGCATTAAAGATTAATGTGATGTTAATTCAAGAAAATTATTTTTGAACTCTGAAATAATCCTTTGATCATTTCTTCATTTAATGAAATAATTACATTCTACTTAGGCACAAGAAGAGGAAGATTGATACATCAAAGTGATTATATTACTGACCATTATCAATTAAGAGTTATACTGTACCATCAGTTCATCATTAATTGTTTTCCATTCTTCAGCTGTGAAATCAGAAGCTGTGGCTAAAGGCTTATCTTTTCTCAGTGCTCTGCTCCTCAGATCTAAATGCTCGACACGCTTTTCACAAAACAGTGTAAGTTCAGGATAATATCCCTCTTCACCAGACCTTTAAAATGCAAATATATAAAAGTCACCAAAAAAGAATGAAACTTCATTGCGTCCTCTATATTTGTCTGCACACATAGTCTCTGTGTAGTCACCATAGTGACTACAGAGGACTATTTTCCTGTTTCAACCAAGTCCTCCTATCACCTAATAATATTCTGATCAGAACATTCCAGTGAGTTAACCTTCAACCACTTTCTAATGGACACACATACACAGTTCAAAATTATCATCACGGTCCTCATAAAAAAATGCTGGTGTCATTTTCATCAAAAGTTAAACAGTCATGGCATCTGAAATCAACAGTCAGGCAAGATGGCTTCATGACAGAACAAAAATCCAGCTGCAACATTTGAGAGAAAACCTGACAGTGAGTTACTCAGATATTTTCAATGGTTAAAACAGGACTTGAATTTCTAACGTTATCATTTGGGCACTTCTAACTTGATTACTTTAACTTAGTATTTTAATTTTCAATTAGAAAGTCACAAAGAGGTTCAAGACAAATAGAGTATTTAGGTACAGGTTCCTTCGAATTTTACAGAATAGGAATATAATTAGTAACGAAATGAAAAAAATATAAAGTTTACCTTAATACCCTGAGAATCTTTTCCAAGTGTTTAACATCTGTGCATTTTTCAATGAACTTGTAGTCCAGATGATCAATAAGTATTTTATATCTTTTAGTGGTTCCTTGGTCCAGAAAAAGTGGTACTGAGTCATCACCCATAGCTAAATATTAAAAGGAAAAATGTAGCAATTCTATAGGCACTCAGTTATATCTTAAAGCAACGCAAATTTAAGGACTAACCCTATGCATGCTCTGTTATGCAAGCAGACCTACTGTCACAAAATAAAAATTTCAAATTCGAAGACCTGATCACACAGTCTTCTTGGCAGATGTTTACTGACAGAAGTACGGTTATATATGATATGTATTGGAAAAAGGAATGTATGCAGCTCTACTGCTTCTGCAAGTCAGAAAGACTGCTTAAAGAAAAAAATCCCAATTTTTGTTTACCACATTCTCTATTTTTCTTTAAACACAGTAAGATGTTACCTATTTTAAGCAAGTGTGGTGGGGCTGAAGAAGAAGATGGTGCAGGACCCTCTACTTTTTTCAGAAGAAAGATGTTAACCAACTCAGTGTATCCAATGGAATGATAACCTTTGCCTTCTCTGTAGCCAAAATAAATCCTATTGTTTGTCTTTCCTCACTAACTGCATTTTCTGGGCCTTTGCTTACATCACTGTACTAATCTGAATATTTTCCAGCAAGTCTGTAACTGATGAGTGAGCTGAGGTGTTCAAACTGGACACTTCCTGTCTCTCTGTACCTTTGATCTGCTTATCTGCATCTTTTTCTACTTTGATTCTACAGAGCAGAAACTTCTTTTTTTCCCCATGTTATAGAGTGCTTAAAGTCATGAGTTATTTTTAGCAAGTATGGTAAGGGTAACTAGCTAGTATACAATAACATCTATGCATGGATATAAACTCAATTAAAATAATTGTGTTCTAATTTCTAGCATAATTACACACATTCGTTTGTAGTTGCACAAAACAGTTTACAATACAGTATCACTTAATAGCAGGTCATAATGAGGTACTGCATAAAGCCAGAATTTACAGGTTCAGCCCAGGAAAATAAACAACACGCATGGAAAGATAGGCAGATACAGGAGATAATTAGACAGGAGGAAAAAGCAAGTAAGGCACTCATGACAAAACTGCAATTTTTCTCTCGTTTCAGTATTTCCATAAGTGTTCAGAACAAGGAATAAAAATGCTCATTCCCTCGAGTCCCAGAGGCTCTCGGGCAACGCGGTAACGCGGAGGCATCGGTTGCAGGGGACACGGCACCGCCACCGCCAACTGCGCTCCTCCGGCCGGCTGCGGGCAGCGCCCCGAAGCCGCAGTGCCGTGCCCCGCTCCGCGGCAGCCGAGAATACAGCTTTCACCCCCCGGAGACAGGAATTCACATTAAAACCCCACATCAAAGGCTCCCTCACACCACAGCCGGAGCCAGGGCAGCGCGGCTAGCCCGTGCTTAGCAACTGTTGCTATGTACAACATGGCGGCCGGCCGCGCACAAGAACGGGGAAGCCGGGACGACGGTGGAGACACGGGGGTGCCCTCTCCAGTCACCTCCTTGCGAGGCTCCCACAGGGCCCCGCCGAGCTCCAGCAGCGACACCGGCATCGCGTGGCGGACTTCAACACCCACCTGCCCGGTGCCGCGCTGCCTCCGGGAGACGGACGCGACGTAGCCCTCGCTTCAGCAGGGGGACGCCCGCCTCTCGCTGGCTACAGCGCATGCGCAGCTGGGCTGCGGCTGAGGAGGCGCTGCGCGCCGAATTCTTCCGCCGGGCGGGAGGGCTGCCCCGCGGCCGTGGCTGAGGACGGTGGCGGGATAGACCGCGACGGCACTCCCCGCTCTCCTGCCTTACCTCTACCTTTAACGAAACATCACCCGATTCTTTTCAATGTAGTATTTTATTTAGCTTAGAACAGCAGGTTCCACTCCCACCGTCAGTCGCCCCAGGTATTTACACCACTGCTACCTGTCAGCCCTACAACCCCTGTCCCTGGTTCTAGCACCCCTTCCCTACATTTGTCCAGCAGAAAGAGGTACCCAGCCTGTCCACAGTGCAGCCACACCTGTCCTCTACTCCCATAAGACCTTTTGTAGCACTGGTCACGTCCTAGCTTTTATGGGCAACCCCTGAGCTCACCCTTCTGAGCAGCTGTGTCAACTACTGACCCCTTGTTCCTGTTGTGCACACTATGCATGTCAACCTGGTGAAATAACGGATAGCAACTGTGTAGTAAAAGTGTTATTTACACTCAAGTGTATCTGGTTACCAAGGAATAACTGCGGTAAGAAATCTCTTAACCACTAAGATACCTAAGAAAATCTTAACCAAACAGCTCCAAAACAAAATGTCAAGAATGTTTAGCCCCTAAAATGAGCCACTGTAGTTCATTTATGAGTCAGTACATGGTCATGCAGTCTGTGACAAATATACCTTACTATATTGGTGTTAAACACATTATCTCAACATTAACAGCATCATTAGCACCATCAAAATGAATATTTGGAAGCATTTAAGGAGGTTAAATTTGCAACCGTCACAATCCAGCAGTATTTTGTAATACACTTCAGTGATAATGTTTTAGTACTACTTAAAACATATTTCAAACAGACAGATGCAAAACGTTTTGACTCATCAATACAAAACTATCACTTAGATCTTTTGAGTACAGATTCCTAAGAAGTCATCTGAAAAGCAAAACAATATGCTATTTTACTTTTGGGATGCTATCAAAATTATCTTCATAGCACAGACCTAATTCTTTCTTCGAGTACAACTAAGACAAGAAGCACTTTGGAAATTGTTTACACATTGCTTCTTAATGTTTACCTTGCCTCCCTCCCCTCATCTTTTCTGAGATACTATTTTTTTGATGTTTCCTCCACAGCTGGGTGCCTGAATAGAGCACTCTCTGGTCCTTTCAGATTTGCTCTTCTGAAATCCAGGTCTGTGTTCCAGACCCACCCTTGTGTAGCCTTCCATTTATTTTCAGTAGAATTTGGTCAAACCACAGTAATGCAGTTCCCAGGAGTCCAAAGAACATTTAACAAAATTAAAACACAAATAAAGTTTAGATGAGAGTAATGAAAACAAGGTCAACACAAAAAGAATACAGTACCACTGAACTTCACTACTATATACTCTGACTACAGTTTAAACAACAGCTTTAGAAATCTATTGCTGAAAGACAGCATAGACAATATTTAGTATCACAGTAAACTTTAATATTTCAATATCTTAAAACACATTAAGAGTATGCATTTGTACACCAATGGATTTACAGAGCAAAGCTATCAGAAAGATTAAACTGCAGCATAAATTCACTCTATCTTCATCAGAAGTCATCGAGCATCAAATACCACCACTGTAATAGTGCAGTTAAAGGAAAAAAAAAATGTTGTGGTTGAAAAAAGATCAGGGTTGGAGGGGAAAAACACACAAAAAAGAAACTGCCTAAATCTAAAGTCACATCTAACTACACAAAAGCATTCCAAAACTTGTCTTTAATTAACCCTACAACACTCTCATTAAAACGGTGACTAATATTAACCATTACATGTACATCACCCAGAAAACTATCAAAGCTTATTATATTTTGCATAGAAAATGGAAAAAAATAGAAAGCGCCATGAAAGAAAACAAAAACCCCACTCACACTGCAGAGATTGCCCCATAGTACTCTGCTCTACTGTACTGATTTTTGGCCCTGAAGCATTCTTATATAATTACTTAAATCTTCCATTTGGTTTCCCTTATATACCTTGTCTCCATCCACAGCTTCCCAAATGCATTGAAGTGCACGTGTAAAAGGATACATCTTTTTGTCCTTTTTTTGTACATTATTCTGTAGCCACATTCTCTGCATCTGATGGGATCTCTTGCCTTTATTTCATTTTCTGTATGACATTCTGATGTGATGGAGGAAGAGAAAGGGAGTGGATAAACAAAATCAGCATTGTTAATGCATATATAACTCTCAAAAGTGGTAATAATCAAATTCTTATTTGTGCCAAACAAAACATAATAAGAAAACAGTTGTAGTGAATTTGTATCAAGGGCTAAATGATATCAAGGTATTGTGCAAAAAAAAAAGAAAATAGCAGGCTTTACTTATATTAAGATCAAAGAGGATCTGCTGAAAATAAAAAAAAGTACTTCATAGAATACATTCCATTTCTGATAGAACTAGACTGTCTACTAACGAAAACTTCAGCTCGGCCCTCCAAAACCCCAAGTTTATTTTCTCAAAAGACAAAAGAATTCAGATATTCCTGAAGTGACAACTCAAAATCACCAATTTTTAAGTTGTTGACCTATCCATAGATAAGAGATAAACTGACTACTGCCCTTCAATACAAGCTTTGTGACCACACAGCATTTTAAAAAAAACCTCTCAGATGCACTAAACAGAAGATCCACTCGCTGAACATACACTTACAGAAAGAGTCGCGTGGAGATGGAGGACGTCCACACTGCAATACAAGCTCTAGTGAATTACTTCCACATTGCTATCCATATAAACCACATATATGTGGTATTATTAGTGTGTAAAGCTTTAAGAAACATAAGGATCCGCAACTATTTGTATTTATGTATTCTTCCTTATAACAATTACGCATTCTTCATACCAGATCTCCAGTAACAAGCAGAAAAATTCACTGATGTCTTTTCTTTACCTCCACAAATGTAAATCATTGGCTGCTGTTTTGGAGGCTGAACATCCTTCTGTGAATCCATGTTCTAAACAAAAACCACACAACATACACACCAGTTGGTTTTTTGTTGCTTTTTTTTTTTAAGTTCTTTTTTCAAGACATGCACAATCATTTCCATATCTCAATCTAAAGTTAACAGAAGATGGAAAACTTCCTTAAAAGTAAATACAAACAAATTCCATCCATATTTGATACACAGGACATTGGCTAATTCAAGTTAAAAGAGACTTAAGAAAGTAACCTAGTTCAACTTCTCAAAAGCGGAGTAAGATCAGGTTCCTCAGAGCTTTACCAATCTGGTAAATTCCTAACTCTTATACCAGTAAATAGCTGGCATGATGCTTCTCTATGATCATGGCTCTTGGATGCTTTTGCTTAATGTTAAAGTAAGGATTATTTCCCTCATCTTCACAGTTTGTT